GGGCTGGGGGCTGGGAAACCCCCTCCAGGGCTGCATGAGAGGGAGCTGCAGGGGCAGGGGGGGATGTGGGCCTGGGGCAGGCTGGGGTACAGCTCACCACCTTTGGTGTCCGCTCACTGCAGGACAAATGGGTGCTCAACCATGAGGATGTGCTGCTGGGGGAGTGCATCGGCCGGGTGAGTCGGAGTGCTCTAGTCCCTGCCTGCGTTGGGTCTGTGGGAGGACAGGTCTGTCCCACAGGGTCTGCAGGAGGGCAGGGATGTCCCCACGGGGTCTGCGGGAGGGCAGGGGTTGCCTCAGGCCACACCGCGGCAAGCTGGGCTGGTGCACCCATGTCTCTCGGCAGGGTAACTTTGGGGAGGTGTTCAGCGGCCGCCTGCGTGCTGACAACACCCCCGTGGCTGTGAAATCCTGCCGGGAAACCCTCCCGCCCGAGCTCAAGGCCAAGTTCCTGCAGGAAGCCAGGTCTGTGCAGCTGTCACCCTTGTCCTGGCCCGTCTGTCCGTCCTCAGGACTTGGGGCTGTTCGAACTCTGCTGGGACTGCATCATCCTTGTGCTGAGAGCTGTGTCCCCAGGCTGGCCGGACAGAGTGTCCTGGGGATGGCACAGAGGTGGTCTGTGCCGGGGGCAGCCAGGCCCCCGCACACTCACGGTGCTTGTCCTTGTCCCCACAGGATCCTCAAGCAGTACAACCACCCAAACATCGTCCGGCTCATTGGAGTCTGCACCCAGAAGCAGCCCATTTACATTGTCATGGAGCTTGTGCAAGGTGAGTGGCCCCGTCCTGCAGCCCCCACACTGCCAGGGCAGCCGGTGTGTGCGTGTGCAAGCTCGCCACGGCGTGCCAGGGCAGCCGCCCACCAGCTCCGCAATCCTGGGTGCAGGGGGGGACTTCCTGAGCTTCCTGCGCAGCGAGGGGCCCCACCTGCGGGTGAAGGAGCTGATCAAGATGACAGAGAACGCTGCCGCCGGCATGGAGTACCTGGAGAGCAAGCATTGCATCCACAGGTGGGCTCTGGCAGCACGAGCGGGTGCCGGGCAGGGCAGGGTGAACCCCAGAGCCCTCGCTGCCCCCTGTCCCATGTCAGGCAGAGGCCCCTGGTGATGGCCGGGCATGTGGCTGACAGCTCTGGGCCATCCCAGGGACCTGGCTGCTCGCAACTGCCTGGTGACAGAGAAGAACACCCTGAAGATCAGTGACTTCGGGATGTCACGGGAGGAGGAAGATGGCATCTATGCCTCCACGGGGGGGATGAAGCAGATCCCTGTCAAGTGGACCGCCCCCGAAGCACTCAATTATGGTATGGGATGGAGCCAGACACGGCCTGGCAGTCCCACGGCACAGCTGGGAGCTAGGAGTCTGGGGCACACCGTCCTGCTCCCATGCACCTGGTCCTGGAGAGGAAGCAGAGACGGGGGGGCACCCCAGCCCTCATGAGCGCAGGCACAGCCAGGGCAGCGGTGCCATGGGTGTCCCCAGCTGCCAGCATCTGTCCCTCCCCATGTCCCCAGGCCGATACAGCTCCGAGAGCGATGTCTGGAGCTTCGGGATCCTGCTGTGGGAAGCCTTCAGCCTGGGTGCCGTCCCCTATGCCAACCTCAGCAACCAGCAGACGCGAGAGGCGGTGGAGCAGGGTAAGGGACGTGGCTGGGGTCCGGCTCTTGAGGGCAACTGCAGGGTCATGGGCCCAGCACTGCAGGTGCGCCGTGGAGCCGTGCCCACGGGACGGGCAGGATGGGGCTGTGGGGGGCGAGGGGCCAGTGGCCTGGGCTGCCATGTCCCCATCCCTGCCGCTCCCCAGGCGTGCGGCTGGACCCCCCCGAGCAGTGCCCCGAGGAGGTGTACCGGCTGATGAAGCGGTGCTGGGACTACGACCCCCGCAAGCGGCCCAGCTTCAGCACCATCCACCAAGACCTCATCACCATCCGCAAGAGGCACCGGTGAGGGGGAGTGCCGGGCCGATGGCAGTGCCCCGCCGGCCCCACTCAGGACAGCACTGTGTGCCCCGGATCCATCCCGCTGGCAGCATCCATCCCTCGGGCAGGGCCTGCCTGGGAAGTGGGTGCTGCGGGGCAGCCAGATGCGGCTGTGCCCGCTCCGCAGCCCAGGGCAGGGGGCTCCCACGTGCCCCAGGGACATGGCACCCACAGCTCCTGCTGGGCTTGATCCTGTGTAATAAATAAACAAGCTCTGCAGCACCACATCTGTGGGGGTTACGGGG